CGCCTTTTTTTCTATATATATATATTTCCTATAGCTAACGGCTAATCTTATCTATGCTATAAAAGTAGGCGAGATATCGCCTATAACTTCGTCCAATCGTCGGGAAATATATTGAAAAGCTTTCGCTCTGGTAAATTATTAAAAAAAGGGTTCTTTTGATAAGGGGTTAGAAAAAAGGGCGGTAGTTGGAAGAAAACTATCCTTTTGGTTGAGACCTTTAATTAGAATGCCATGAAAAATCAAATTAACTGCTCCCCCCCCCCCCCCCCCCCCTTTCGATGAGACTTTTTGCTGCTCCCACAGTTGGTGGGAATTTTTCAAATTTGTGTACCTTGTACTGTTGAAATTGCAAACCGTCTAGAGATAATGTATCATGCAAGCAATTGTAAATATGCGAAATCAGTTTGCAGCCATTTACTAAAAATCGTCATGAATTCCTCATTTCCATGCCTACTTCATGTCAGGAGATTTTAGTTTCCATGTCAGATGCAGATCAGACTACTTTTCCTTACAGTGACTCTATACAGACAGTGTGGTACAGTGGTGTTATTTTCTATTGGTCGTTGGGAGGTCCGCCACGTTTTAGGCAAATAGGTACACCGCATTGCTAGAAATTAATCTGGAAACCAAGGTGATGAATTTAGCTTGATGGACACAATTAATTCGGTTAAACCAACCAGCTCAATGATAAATTTTAAATTGCCTCTTTGGCTTTGCTCAACGGTTTCACAGTTTGTTTATTTGGTTGTTATGGACAAACCGTTGTTATGGTAATTATATTATATAATACTGGGTAAAATGATTATATTTTCAAATAAAAGTAACAATTTTAAACTACACTTTGTCGATCTAAAATCGGGTTAATATCTTTTAAATCTAAAGTACACGAAAAAATAGCATGTTCTATACGTAAAAAGTGAAACTATTTTCACTCACTGGAAAACTGCCACTTTTCTTTACTTGTAGCCCTTGCTTCGAATGGGACCAACACTTACCGACTGTGTAGCTCAGTGGTAGAGCATTGGGCTACATAGCCGGAGGTCGGGTGTGAACCTGGACTGAGGTAAGAATTTGTCATCTTTTTCATCTAGAACAACTTAAGACCTTATGCAGGAGCACCTTTAAAAAGCATTCTGCCGGTCACTCTGTAATTGGGCGAAAGCCTGTTGCTGTAATACGAGTTTCACCCCTTTTCACCCTCTCCAAAAACTAGTCATATGTACCTCCTTGCTCACGTATTTAGTATTTGTATTTGTTATACACCGTTCTAACATATTTTCTTGGCAAATCTCCATTAACAATTTTCTCTGTTTTGCCTAGAAAATGGACTACCAGCCAATTTCATGAAAGTACCTTTAATATTGTCTGAAAGGTATAGAGAAATGCTGTATAATTTCCGCTATTATGTATTTGTGAATCCACGGAAAAATTGTTGGGTGCGTAGTATTAAATTCATGTAAAAGAGCAAAACATACCACCATATTTGATCTTAAGCAAGTTCCCCCGAGTCCCAGTGCTTTAGCGTTTCGCGAACCACACTTTGAGTAGCCCCGATCTATGGGATACAATTCAGTAGTCCACACGATGCCTGGACACATCTCAAATCGAACTTGGCATTTTTTCCAATATCAATATCTTCATTATTCTCACATATAAACCTCTCGCCAGGAAAGATTGGCGGTCATAGAACACTTGATCCCGGTCTACAATCTATGTTTTTCTAAAGATGTGAGCGATTTCCGAGATAGTATCGTCTCAATGTTAAACAAAAAGACTTTTCGTTCAACATTGGCACGATCCTATTCCGGAAGTCGCTCGCATCTTAAGAAAAACTTAGATTGTAGATCGACACAAGGTGTGCTGTGACCGGCAATCTTTCCTGGCAAGAGTTATATATCCTAATCCAACACCTACCCTCACAGCTCTAAAAAAAGAGAGTGCACCATAAGGACAGTCTCTGAAAATGAAATATTGGTGGTATGGTGGTCGTAAAGTTCCTTTTTTTTAATTGCACAAACTAATATAATTAGCAGAGAACAATCGTGCAAAATGGTATGTTACAACACAATGCAAATCGGCACAAGCAGGAACTAGCACAAAGCTCCTTAAAAAGAAGTTCTAATATTGTAACGCCGGGAGGGTACCAGGAGGGGGGTAATAGACCGGAAAACTACATAAAGAGAGTAAAATCGAATTCAAAACTTGTGGCCGAGTTCTAGTTTGGTACGAGAGTCACACGTGGAGTCATATGCTGGAAGGGAAGGTGATGCTTTAATTACTAATATTTATTTGATACAATTTGTCGTTTTCAGCTGACTAGTGGTTTTTTCAAATTTAGTACATCAAATTGCTCGTAACTCCCTTTTAGGAGTTTGCTTCTGACTACCACGATCCATTAAATGTGCCAAAGTCTTGAAGGTCCAAAGTCAATGACATGCGTAAATTTATACACAAAGAAAATGTAACCCATTCGTTATAATGACAAATGACTTAACAAACTCGATGACCCGCTCGACATAATCAGACGGTTTATCTCCAACAAACGTACGCACTGATTACATAATTGTATATCGCGATTTAAATTAAGGCGACAAGGTAAAACTCGGCCATAGATCATACGGATCGTTGACGTGCGAGTTTCGTGCTTTTTAAATGGAAGGGAAAAAAGAAAAAGGATTCATGTAGTTTTATGTTAAATTTATCGCTCTAGGTGAGTAGTAATGTGCGTGTTGATAAGAAATAACTACTACGTTACCGGTGAAATTACATGATATTACTAAACTACCTTTATTAATTTAATTATACAGGTACGTTATTCCGACAGGCTAGTGATGTTTTTAACACTGCAGCAAGCAGTAGCATGACTAAGCAAATCAAATTATTGTAATTCGTTTTTAAGGTTAATTACATATGATTAAAATGTGTAGAATTAATTACTTTAGCAGCTTTGCTTTATTGCACATTGGAGGCAAGCAGCAAGAAGTAGACATGGTACGTTTTGCTTTAAATTTTGCAGGATAATTCTCATTACTTTAATTAGTTGTAGAGAATAATTCATGTGCATTGCAATTGCCAAGCCGCATGTTAAGAAGAAGCTTTTTTCAAGGCACCTTTCTATCAATATATTCGTAGTTTGTAGGTAACACTCATATTTGACTACAAACGTGAAATCAATTTATCCAATTAAGCAATGATACTGAGCGTTCCACGTTTTTCCAGTAGCACAAATTAGTTCCAAACTACAATAAAACGAGGTTTCCCAGAATGAGTTTTACCAATTAATTATCACTAATAATTTTCATTCTTTTCATCCTCTAAAACCCAAAAGCTTGATATGATAAAACAAACGACATAACGAACGAAAGGCCTTCTTTTGCTAAAATTACTTTTGTTCATATTTGATTATTAATGTTCTGCATTGATGATACACATTTGCTTTCTGATTTGGATATATGTTGAAACGACAGTTGAACTGAGACCAAAGCTAGATAAGAGTATTTTACGTTGTTTTGGATGCATGGTACAATTGTTAAATCGCACTGCAAAGTACAATAAGTTAGTATAGGGTTACTTATTACAGAACTTAAATTCAAATTTATGGAATATCCGGCTTTGGATGAACTTTCGGAAATAATCGAATAAATAAATAAATAAATAAATAAAAGTACATAGATAGATCATTGATTGCCACACGTTGAATTGGCAAGAATATAGTCGGTTTCTGTGAAAAAATGCCACTTCTATAAATAGTTGTTTGAATTTGGCCATTGGGGTATGTTTTCACACAGTTCTTTTATTCCTCCAGACTAAACGTAACACAACAAGTTTGCCAATTAATTTATTGGGTTTTGCAAAATAATAGTGTACATGCTTGGTAATAGCATTGTTTAAATACTTAAGTATTTAAAGAATGGTAATAGTCAATATTTAACTTGCTGTGATTTGGTGTCCGAATTGCCCACTTGATTTCGAGTCTGAACTGTGGAAAAGTTTAACCGTATTTTTGAAAATAAAATAAATAAATTTGTCCAAAGAGCATTAACTTAAGGTAGAGTGGAAAAAATCTGGTTCACTAAACAAATTTCTCCTTTCTGTGAATAAAACTAGTGTTCACACCCGTCTGAAGCCCATTAATGGCGATGTGGCAATGTGTGCAATAAATTTATAAACGCCAGGTTCGAAAAAACTATACCCTAGCTAGAACTTTACCGTTTACTTTTAAAGGTAAGCATTTGATATTTCCATTTCGTTAACTATAAAGGGTTGATAATTTGCTATCGTTGTCGTGTTCTTACTTATTCGTCAGTAACCGATCGCCCGTTTCCTAGAATCGCCGTTTCTACCGTCTGATTTCTTGAGGCTTCCGAAATCTCCGACCTTGACCAGAAGCAGGGTTTCCGAACCTGGTGGCGCTCGAGCCGTACCGTCCCGCCGACTATCGCTATGCAATTTTATTTGGCGTTTAATTTTACAAGCAAGCAATTTTCAGAAAATCAAAGTTTGAAGTAAATTTTCAGAGAAATTTAGAGAAGGAGAAATTTACGTAACCGTAAATTTATCCGTAGGTCATTTTACAAAATTTACAAAAGAATTTCAAGTTCAACCCCCTTATATGCAACAAAGTCTGTTGCAAAATAGCAATAGTATTTACTAATAGATCAAATCGTAAAATTTAGAGTATTTTGAGGTTTTTACTGTCAGAAAGTTTAACCTTCCCGTGGGAATAACTTGGTCATGAATTTAGTTGAAAAACAATGTACGGAAAAAAGGATAGACTTCTAAAGGTGTTCAAATATCACGTATGTGCAACAGTACTCAGAGTAGCCTGAAATTATAATAAATACAGTTCCTATTCAAAATACAGTAGGTACATAAAAATAATCAGACTAGATTGAGTTAATACTAAACAATAAATGCAAATTTATAACAAATCATTTCTTCTCCATTTGCAAAGCTTACCTACTCTGTTTTGTATTCCATTCATATTTTATTTGTTTCAGGGGATCTATCTCTTGTACTGTACGGAATTGCTGCAATACCGGGTAAGTTTGCTATTAAAAAGGAACTATATGAGTAACTAAATTAAGTAAGTTGTCAAGGTAACTTAAAAAATGTCGATTGCTTTGGCATATTTTGCTTATAGGGACTCGTAAACCGTAAAAGATACAAATCCGCTTGAATATGCAAAGTTATGCAGACTTTTATGGTGATTATTTTCCCTTTCAAAGTTTCTTTCAGCTCTACAAATAGCGCAGTTACTCATCATATTCATATCCATATTAACACTTATATATATCGGGCGATCAAAAATGAGTGACTGTCGAGTCGCCTTTGAAAGTTTGAGTTAAGTACGATTTCCCATATAAACAAAAATTCCAAAGGCGACTAAACGGTCACTCATTTTTTATCGCTATATATATATCTTCGAGGTTCATTGAAATTCTGAAAAAAAATGGACGCTTTTTTCAGTCTGGCATTTATAGATTCGATAAGCAGGAGAACATTACACTTCTACCACTAAATTAAAACCAGGACAATTAACTTTTTTTGAAATTGGATAATTTTAGTACAATGAAAACTTGCGCAGTTGCCGAGTTTTTGAACCACTTAAAAGCTCAGAAATGAAATGATTTAAATTAAAACTGCAGGTTTGTTAAGCTTCACTTCGATGGTTTTACTTGAATCCCACTTGAACTTTGATGCTCTTTAGATTTCCAACATTGTAACTGCAACCTTCACTGTAAATCAAGGCTGAAATTTAACTAAAGCGGATAAACCGGTTTGAAGCTTGAATTTTTAAGCTTCGTAGTCTGAAGTATTGGGGAAAACGAATGTTACAGTGTAAATAATTTGAATGGTTTCAGAATTTCTTCTTAAATGTCTTGCTTTGAAGCAAACGTTACAAAGAAGGTTAATAGATAATCTTTTGATGAACATTGAGTTCCTTATTAAATACCTATATGAATATCAAAAGCATAAACGAAAAATTTAAATAAAACAAAAGAAGAAAACCTGTTTCCCTTCAGATACAATAGAGCAAAAGACGCCATAAGACCAAAAGATTGCTTTCCCTTCTCTCTTTCGGCAACGAAACAAATACAACAACAATCTGCACGCATTCGGTAGCATAATTTGATCATGAAAGTATATTCTGTTCTTCGATTAATTTCAGCATTAGAGATATGTCCGCTAAAGGGCTCAGGAGACCATTCAACAAACCATAATGGTTTACAAGAGTCTTATGGACCGATAAGGCCTTTAGGGACACTTAGAACTCCTTGAAAACTTGTTAAGGCTTATGTGATGAAGTTCTCCATTTTTTTTTCTGGTTCGTTGAGAGATTTTTGAAATATTTGAAGTATTAAAACAACCACAAATGTATTTTTATTGTTTTTCTATAAAGGGATCGATTTCGAGTTAATCACCCATCATCAGGCTATGCTTCAATTTTAATCAACCTAATGTCGCTGCATCTTATATCAATGACGGTAATAATAATTTTATTTCTTTGTTCAACTTCACATTCCTGTAATTATTAGCATAGCCTGATGATGGGTGATTAACCCGAAATCGATCGCTTTATAGAAAAACAATAAAAAAACATTTGTGGTTCTTTTAATACTTCAAATATTTCAAAAATCTTGTTAAGGCTGTTGATACCTTTATAAATTCTTAAATGCTATATTAAAAGAAGTAAGAAAACTCTAGAACAACTTTTGAAGGCTAATACTCGCTCATGTCTTTAAAGGTCTTTAGAAAGTTCTTTTAAAACTTTTGAGGGATTTCTTAGTATTTTTAACGGAACACTCTAGGGTTGTTTATATTACTATAATAGTCATGATTAGCGGCGGAACCAAGGCTCCCTGAACTTATCCAAAAAGAATTGATACTGGAAAGTAGGTATTTTCTATTTATACAAAAGAGAATATAATTTACTTACAATTGCTTATAGTCACACAATCATTGAAAAAGTCATAAATTTGCTTACTACCTACTTTGGAACAAGACGTAGAATTTGAATACTATTAACAATCATTCAATTGGAAAATCCATTCGCTGAATTTTTCCCGCTGCAATAGTTCGTTTGAGCGATCTCGATTCTAGACGACGTAAGTTGATACGGTGAGGGCGCAAAGGAAAAATTTCTCGCACAGCAGGTATTATTATGAAAACGTTCAAAGATTTTCGATCAAAGCAGCATCGTTTTCCACTACTTCCATTCTTGTGAAAAACTGCCAGCAATTTATGTCAATTATGTACAATGACATTTTAAGACTTAATTTGCTAGTTAATCATCAATACTGTGTGGTAGTAGATGGCGTGTTTTTCTAATTTATTCTTTTACGCTTCCGATTATTGGAAAGAAAGGCTTCACGAGTCGCGGTTTCTGATAAAGTTTTGCGTACGGCGAGTATTTGAGGTTTTCAGTTTTCCGAATATTCATCATTTAGTTTTTATTTCATTACCATAGCAAATAGCTATCAGCTATGAATTGAAATAACTTTTCTATTCCTAATTTAACTGGACACTGATACGAATCACGAGGGGTGCCGTTGCCTAAATCAATACATAAGGAAATGTACAAACGCATTAGCGATTGCTTACATATGCCATAAAATTAACTTGCCAGAAGACTGATTTATTATGTAAAGTGCGCAATTAAAACGTAAACATAGGGAACGCGCACGATTAGCGCTCCCTATTTTTATCAAATCAAACCGGGAATTAACTAAATCTAAATTCGCCTCGGTAGATATGGTTTACATGCCGTTGACATAAATCAAGTTAGATAAGGAAGACATTCAGTTATGGTAGTGCACATCTGATAATTTCCTGTGATTACACGTATAATTGGGGAAGGGCTGACCGGAAATTGAGGGCGTGCTTGTAGTTACTTCCATACGGAAATGACGCTTGTTACCATAGGTGTCATCACCTGACCACATCAGCGGCTAGATTCGCAACGCAATTACGTACGATTTATCTTGAAAGCTGGAGAATTGAATTATGTGCAAGGCGAAGCCCCTGTAAAAAGTTCTGTTTGATTTACTCGACTGGGCAACTGAGAATACTTAAACCAAACCAAAAATTTCGCCCATTCCGTATAGATTATGATTACTTACGCCCAATTCTGAGTATATTAGTGAAATCAAGACATACCTACTGGTGCATCCGATTTGAAATAACGAAGTGGGGTGTCCGTTGGATTTAAAAATATTTTAGCACGTATTTATTGAGTAAACTTTATCTACACACTTTCAGAAATCTGTTTACATCAGTTTCCCATATAATAATCTACTCACATCGTTGAACACCCTGTATATTTTTCCTGTTAATCATGTATCTTCGTCGTTCTTTTTCGGGCCATTACTTATACATGGAAATTTTTCAAATTTGGCGACTTATTCGCTCGAAAATAAAAATACGGAAGCCAAAGCAATAATATTTCAATTAATTAATATGACAGTCAGATCTCCATTTGTTTTAAGAAGTTATTTTGGTTGCATAAAATGAGGCGTCCTTCAGAAGAGTTTTTGTCATTTAGAAGTAGACATGGGGAAAACAATACACACAAATCCCTATGTCTACTTCTAAATGAATATTACTGTATAGCAAAGTGCCAGGAACGTAATATAATATACGAGTATTATTCAAGTATAAATAATTACTAATTTTGAAGTTCTACGGTTGCAGCATTATTATTGGAGCGTGCAATCGAAGTTTAGAAAACAACGCTCGAAAGTATGGAAACTGTTTCCCAATAGTCTTGCGGATAAAAAAGGTTTTGTGTTTCTTTGTGCTATTATGGGCCGTATCATGCCCATTTTGTGCACTTTTGTGTTTTTTAATTACCTATTGGACTTTTTAGAAGTGATAGACTACAATTTTAGGCATATCTTCGCTTTTGTATTTTTGAAGTAGGTGTTAAAAAATGACTAAGTAGCTAAACAGGGGATTAGTTTTGCAGATTAAGGCATTCGGATAGGAGCAGTGGCACTAGATAGAGGTTGAAGAGAATTCTTGTTTTAGTAGTCGATCTGGTTAGGAGGTCCAATTAAATTAAAGGCGATCTTGTGGTCCATTTTCTCCAGTTAGTTTTTTTTAATCTTCATTATTTTGCCCAATACTCAGCGTAAATTGCGGGCACAGGTTGTGATCGATAGTTATCAAAAAAGTGCCAGTTCACGAGAAACCAGAGAAACCTACCCCAAGGGATATTTACGTGTTCCATTGTGGGAGTTGGAAAAACATAGGTGAATTCCTTAGGAAACTGTACCGCGTATTTGCACATATAACTCTCGCCAGGAAAGATTGCCGATGACAGCACACCTTGTGTCGATCTACAATCTATGTTTTTCTTAAGACGCGAGCGACTTCAGGAATAGGATCGTGCCAATGTTGAACGAAAAGACTTTTTGTTCAACATTAACACGATACTATCCCGCAAGTCGCTCACATCTTTAGAAAAACATAGATTGTAGATCGGGATCAAGTGTTCTGTGACGGGCAATCTTTCCTGGCGAGAGGTTTATGAACAAAGTGAAAAGAAGGTGACAGTAATGCAAGTGACTCACGAACATTACAACAAAGAAAACTGTTTTTCAAATGAAATAATACTACAGTTTATTATTAGTGCCGCTAATGCAAAAGGGCAGTTTGGTGAAAAAGTTTATCTAAAAGATTTCTTAAACGTTAAATCGAACCATAATCAAAATTAAGTTAATATGAGTGTGCAACCGCACTTTTCGGAACAAAATTATACTGACCAGCAAAGGAATTATCATCGGGACCAAGCCTGTATTTTTCAATCAATCGTCATAGTCCATTCCAAAGAGTCATCACTTACAGATTGTTTCAATCCGGTGGGATTGAGTATGCCACCCTTTAGAAACCACCTGATATCTACCTCATATTGACGAGTCAAAAAAGTCACCCGTAAGAATTCCAGATCTTCCAGGTCGAGGAAAAATGGTAAATAAGAGGGTTAGTCGTATTTATGCATTTTTTGTCAAATATTTTCCTCAACTTTAAGATCCGTTGC